TGGCAATCGAAAATCAAACAGCTTATCAAGTTAATTATGACGGTGCCATAGATTTATTTGCAAAACAAAAGGCTTGCAGAGTAAAATTTTAATTCTGTAATATTTTAAGAGTGTTAGGTAAGAACTTAAAATTATTCATGAAATAAAAATTGCGAAAAGAAGTACAAATACTAACCCTTTTCCTTTCAGCAGTAGCCCATATTGTTGTTTTGTATAGCTAATGAAAGTTAGTTACATAATTAATCAGCTCATCGATTGTCCCAACTTATGTTTGTAACTAAAGATTATTTTTATTACGAGTGCATATTTGATTGAATCTTAGGACTTACTTATGTTATTGAAAAAGAGGAATTTGATTATTCATTGCATTAGTGATTTGTAACTTGTATATATTCGTTTTAGCTATTATTAGTACAGTCAAAAGTCTTTAATCCGGACTCGTCGGGACTTCGACGATTCCGAATTATCGATTTTTCCGGATTATAGATCATAAGTTTAAATCTGGTAAGATGGCATGCAGAAATTATAAAATTAAAAATATGAAAGCGTAATTTATAAAATAATGAGCAATTATGATCTAAAGGGTATAAAAATTTACAAAAAAATAAGCTTAATATTTATTTGTTTACTTTATTAAACATTTCTTTAAACGCGCGTATGCGTAAAGCATACCCTACGCATAGCCGGAATTACAAAATTGCAACCAGAAAACTATTTGATTTGTATTCGTGATATTTATAATGACGAGAAATTTGATTTAAATCATATCAAAGACGGAGTACATCGAGATTAAATACTACATTTAATAAGGAATTATAAGCCTAATAAAATAAAAACATCTGCCCTAAAGATAACGATAGTGCGAGACAGATCAACTTCCAGTTCATAGTGCGCCGCGACGTCTCCCCCCCCCCCGCGCAGAGCAGCGTGAAATTGATAAACAGATGTCGGAACGGTTAGATAAACAAAGGATATGCTTTTATCCATTTTTTATAGCAATTCGTTTTTTGTTTGATGGACATCGAAGCATACTTTCGTTTTCTAGATCCTTTGGGAGCTCCAGCATCGGAAATTCTATTTGACATCATCGAAAGTTCAAGTTTACTTTTATAAAATTGCTCTTACAGTCTGCAAAAAATAATAAGCCGGATCCAATTCGAAGATTAAGGAACAACGCAATCATCAACATTAACTGAAATAGATAATTATATAATTTTAGCTTATACCGTCCGTTTTACATTAAACGCGCACGCGAAAACGTATTCTGCGCTTGCGCAGACACATATGCGCAGTCGTAAATGTCTTGCGTGCACGAGTAAAACGCCTATGCGCATGCGTCAACGCGGCGCATGCGCAGAAAGATTTTAGCTTTGAGGTCCGGATTATAGATCATTCCGAATTATGGGTGTCCGAATTAACGACTTTTGACTGTAATATGCCATTTTTATTTTTCGTACTATGCTGAACTGCTTTAGCATTTAGTACTGAATTACTTTCTATTGGTATGGATAGTTATTGTTGCAAACATTGCAAAACTGCATATTTCAGAGGAAACATAAATTTGATTATTACAGGGCAAAAATAGTCTTTGTATGAATATGTAAATATTTATTATCTCTATCGGGCTGTGTGAGGACGATAGTAGAGTTCTTGAGTAGCCTTATATAAAAGCGTTACAGTGAAAGGGAATTTAAAGTGCCAGGTTAAAGTTGTTGCTATTTTAGAGAATTTGGTGTGTTCATTATTGAATCCATTTCATTCATGATTTGTAATTTATATATATTTGTTTAAGATATAAATTAGTAACGTGTATGTTCTATTTTTTTGTACTATGCTGAACTGCTTTAGTATTTAGTACTGAATCATTTTCCATTTTTCTGGCTAGTTATTATTACAAATATTGAAAAATTGCATATTTTAGAGAAAATGTAAATTTGATTATTACAGTACAAAAATAGTCTTGAATGTGTGAATATGTAAATATTTTGTTATGTTACTGGGCTTTGCGAGGACAATAGTAGAGTTCTTGAGTAGGCTACATGAAGACGTTATTGTGAAATGAATTTTTAACAAGTTGGATTAAAGTTACTGTTAGTATCGAGAAATTGGTATAAAATTATTCAATCCATTGCATTAACTATTTGTAATTTGCTTGTATTTGTTTAAATCATATTTTTCATTATTTAGTAGTGTGCGATTCCCATTTTTTGTACTGTGCTGAACTATTTTAGTATTTAGTACTGAATCATTTTCTATTACAGTCAAAAGTCGTTAATTCGGACACTCGTAATTCGGAATGATCTATAATCCGGACCTCAAAACTAAAAACTTTCTGCGCATGCGCCGCGTTGACATATGCGCATAGGTGTTTACGCGTGCGCGTAAGACCTTTTACGACTGCGCATATGAGTGTGCGCAAGTGCAGAATACGTTTTCGCGTGCGCGTTTTATGTATAATGGACGTATAAGCTAAATAATTATCTATTTCAGTTAATGTTGATGATTGCGTTGTTCCTTAATTTTCGAATTGGATCAGGCTTATTATTTTTTGCAGACTGTAAGAGCAATTTTATAAAAGTAAGTTTAAACTTTCGATTATATCAAATAGAATTTCCGATATATATTTGTTAATATGTAAAGGATCTAAAGCGAAAGTATGTTTTGAAATCCGAAATCTGTTTATCAATTTCACGCTGCTCGGCGGGGGGGAAAGCCGCCGCGTGCGCGTAATGAATTGGAAGTTGATCTGTCAGCACTATCCTTATCTTCAGGGCAGATGTTTTTATTTTATTTGGCTTATAATTCCTTACCAAATTAGTATTTCATCTCGATGTGCTCCGTCTTTGATATGATTTAAAACAAGTTCCTCGTCATTATAATTCGCTTCCCATAGCGAAGAAAGTGACAGAGGTTAGTGAAAACAAAAAAATTTCGATTGACAAATTAGTCCGTGTTCTCGACACAGCAATTATAGGACTTGAACAACGGAACTTTGTAACTGAACAAGAAATTATGTCTGTTTAATAGAATTAAAGAGAAAGTATTATCACATGAAACGAAGCAAAACTTAAACAACTTACATTGAAAGAAATGTTTAATAAAGTAAACAAATAAATGTTAAGCTTTTTCTTTTTGCAAATTTTGATACCCTTTAGATCATAATTGTTCTTTATTTCATAAATTACGGTTTCATACTTTTAATTTTAGAATTTCTGCATGCCATCTTACGAGATTTAAACTGATGATCTATAATCCGGAAAAATCGATAATCCGGAATCGCCGAAGTCCCGACGAGTCCGGATTAGCGACTTTTGACTGTAGTATGAGTAGATATTGTTGCAAATATTGATAAAATCCCTATTTCACTGAAAATTTAAAATTGATTAGTTCAATGCACCGGACATGCAACTGATTAGGAGGGTTTGCACAGGTTTTTAACTATGTAACTTTTAGTATGTATGTCGGGCCACCAGCGGCTGAGAGGTAAAGTCTGAACACTAGCAGTTCGGTCGGGGTAAGAATGAAGCGAATTAGCGGGCTGCATGGGTGTTTCCATCGTTTCGCTCATGCATAACTTGCATATGAGCCAATTACTTCTAGAAAGTCCTCAGAAATTTCTCCTTTTAGGCAGGTGCTTTGCCATAAGTAAAGAAACTAAACCATTTGTTATGTATATTTCTTTTATAACAAAAATGGCACATAAAAAAATTTCTTATTATAAAATGGATTTTACATTTTATCTCAAACCCTGCATATTTCTATGTTTATTTAAAGAATTAAAATTTGTTAGAGAACCTAAAGGAAGATGGGTGAGGTTTTTGCCCTTTTAAGTTTTTGCCCCAACCAGGAAAAATGCTAAATCTCGTGCTGTGTATTGGTAAATAATATGGATATTGAGTATATGTACATAGCAGAAGACAATAAAATGCACATATAAAGTATTAATGTTAAATTGATGGTTGTCTCAATCTATCTGCCTTCTTTTTTAAGCTTTTATATATTGTTTTAAATATTTGTAAATATTTTAATCCACTTTTTTATTGTATTCTTATTTTTTCTCTATTGTTATAGTATTTTGTATTGTTTTATTTATTGTTTTTACAATGATAATTTTAATGGTTTATTTTGGGTTTAATCTCGTTTGTCCCTACATATCTTGTATTTAAATTTTTATTTCTTACATATAATTGTAGATTTTTTTTTAAATTCTGAGAGCAAAAGCTTTGGTATTATAAAAATAGCTCAATTAGAAGGCAAGATATGGTCAATTTCATTCTTAAGGGCCTTCATGTCAATTTTTGGCTTTAGTGATAATTTAACCCTTCAATATGCCTTCATGAAAATTTGACGATTTCTTACCATCATGGTGACCTTCTGGAAGATTTGCGAAAACACATTTTTGAAGCACTACAACCGATTTTTTCCCCCGAAATTTCCAGAGCCTGTGCTGCAGGATATAAATATGGGCTGAAGAGCTAGAGAGTTCAGTTGTAAATCAGTATGGATCAGCTCTGACATTTAGTGGTTAGCTGAACTAAGAGTTACAGCTTAACCTGAGAGTGACTTGAGGAGCTTTTAAATTTATTTCATGTGCTAAGGAAGAATTACTTAACATCCACATTCTTTTTCAGTTACTTCCAACTGTTAATGTGCTGCGTTTATTATTTAATTTCCTTTACTAATGAAGTATTCATTTCTTCCTGCTTATCTGGACTTATTATATAAAGAAGCAGGATCAATTCTATGGCTTCTAACAATATGTATGAATGGAAATAACTAAGTTTATACTTCTACTTAATTCACACTTTTTATGCATATTTATGTTTTGTGGGTCAACCATTTATGCATTATTTTAACCATTTATACATTGTATTTTACAACATTCGAGCAATTCTTACTGAAATGGCATATTAATGTTTTATAATTATTTTCATTTTTGTGTGCTGTTTCTAAAATAATGCTTATATATTTTTAAGATGTAAAATGCTTATTATGTCTAGGCAACTTGTGGTATGTTTGAAGATTTGGGATTTATTCAGTTATGGAAACTACGAAAAAATACATTGGTCAGGTAAATTTGATTTCATAATTATGTAGATTTTTCTTCAAAAACTTTTCCAAAGTACTTTCTATATATGCAAAATCATTGTAGTCTTGTTTTAAATTTGTATTAATGACTGAAACAGTTTTTGGAATACTTTATGGTTTCGTAAAATACTTTAGGGTTTTCATAGTAAAGAAAAAAAAATTTAATGTATATTTTTAAAAATATGCATTTTCTTTTCTTCATTTAGTACATCAGTTATTACCTTTTTTAAAATTTTATTTAAAAAAGTTAATAACTAATTAAGCTTTTAAATTTTATTTAAAAAAATTAAAGGCTATTCCTACATAACACCATTTTCACAATGCAGTTTTGCTCTTACACAGTTTGTGAAAAATGGCTTTCCTCTAATACTTATTTTTCTTTATAGTTTTCCAACCAAAGAAACTGTCATTACAGAATCTCTGTAGCAGAATTACCAAAATATTAAAATGCAGCACAATGAAGAGAAATCATCAAAATAAAATTTAAAAGAGGAAAAGGAGGGGGTTATGACTTAGGAGCTATATTAGATTTATATATAGCATTGTTCTAACCAGTGGCATGTGGTAGGTTTTCATGCACAGTGTGCAGAGAACAACAACAATAATAATAAAACCATAAAAATGTACATTAAACACTTCTTTAACTTTTTATTATTCATTTGTACACAAAATTCATACATCTATCCGTATTACTAACAAAATCATCAATTACATGATCATAAAACTCTGGTTTTGACTGTAATAAGTGTAACATTTCTTTTCCTATTGTTATTAGAGATAAATTGCTTAATCTATCCTGGCCCATTGTATTGCATGCATAATTTTTTCCTCTTTCCAATGCTGAAAATGATCTCTCCACCGAAGCAGTTGCAAATGGAATTGTACAAATTAAATGTGCCAATTTATTTACTTTGCTTAAGGCATCTGTCAAATCATTCAGCATTATATGCTGAATAAGTTTCGATAAATTCATTTCGTGCTATGACTCACTACAACAAAGAATGCATAATTCATTGACTAGCTTTACAAAATCGAAATGTTTCGCATATGCGTTCTTTAACGAATGAAGGCATTCTTCCAGAAATTTACTTTGATATTTCTTAAAAAAGCTGAAATTCAATAGCTCAAAAAATTTGAGCGAATTTAATTTTTTAAAACGGACATCTAACTGACAATAAATAGTGTCCATTATTTCATAATATACATTTTTAAAATGTTGGTCTTGGTCTACACTTGAATTTTGTAAATTTACACAATGTTTTTTTTTAATTTGGGGGACCCACTACAGAAATAGTCTCTTCATAAACTTCATCAAATGCAACAGAAGTTCACATATTTTTAATTGAATTTTTACTTCGTCAACGTTTTGACTAAAATATGCTATACAGTCAAAAGTCGTTAATCCGGACTCGTCGGGACTTCGGCGATTCCAGATTATCGATTTTTCCGGATTATAGATCATCAGTTTAAATCTCGTAAGATGGCATGCAGAAATTCTAAAATTAAAAATATGAAACCGTAATTTATGAATAAAAGAACAGTATGATCTAAAGGGTATCAAAAATTTGCAAAAAGAAAAATCTTAATATTTATTTGTTTACTTTATTAAACATTCTTTTCAATGTCAGTTGTTTTAAGTTTTGCTTCGTTTCATGTGATAATACTTTCTCTTTAATTCTATTAAACAGACATAGTAGCAATAAAGTCAGTTACAAAGTTCCGTGTTCAAGTCCTATAATTGCTGTGTCGAGAACACCGACTAATTGTCAATCGAAATTTTTTCGTTTTCACTAACCTCTGTCACTTTCTTCGCTATCGGAAGCGAATTATAATGACGAGGAACTTGTTTAAATCATATCAAGACGGAGCACATCGAGATGAAATACTAATTTGGTAAGGAATTATAAGCCAAATAAATAAAAAACATCTGTTATGAAGATAAGGATAGTGCTGAACAGATCAACTTCCAATTCATTACGCGCCCTCCCCCCGCCCGAGCCAGCGTGAAATTGATAACCAGATTTCGGATTTCAAAAACATACTTTCGCTTAGATCCTTACATATTAACAAATATATATCGGAAATTCTATTTGATATAATCGAAAGTTTTAGCTTACTTTTATAAAATTGCTCTTACAGTCTGCAAAAAAAATAAGCCGGATCCAATTCAAAAATTAAGGAACAAACGCAATCATCAACATTAACTGAAATAGATAATTAATAATTTTAGCTTATACGTCCATTATACATAAAACGCGCACGCGAAAACGTATTCTGCACTTGCGCACACTCATATGCGCAGTCGTAAAAGGTCTTACGCGCAAGCGTAAACGCCTATGCGCATGAGTCACGCGGCGCATGCGCAGAAAGTTTTTAATTTGAGGTCCGGATTATAGATCATTCCGAATTATGGGTGTCCGAATTAAGACTTTGATGTATCTAAGTTAGTTTTTCTAAAAGATCAATAGAACATCAGTATAACTAAACACTTTGGCAAAAATATTTAGGAGAAAATTACTGTTAAATTCTTCAAAAAAACATGTGGTAACTTTTGCCATATAATTGTATTGTTATCCCAGCCTTCGGATTCTCAGTAATATTTCAAATAAATCAGATAGGCCTGTCTTTCGCTTTTTATGTATTTACCAAACAAGATGAATAGTTCCAACTTGTTGTAGCTAATTTTGGAAATTTTCTTTTAATAATTTAATTTAAAACATAATTCTTTTTGACACTGAAAAAATGAGGCTATGCCAGAAATTGTTGCAAAAAAATTTACAATATTTTATAAACAATACAGATTGCGACAGAACTAAATTAAGTACATGTGCGCAAACAATGCACAAACTAGCTTCAGGGGGAAAGTGTCTTTTACTTTTTTTTTTCTGCATCCATTCAACGCTCCTGCCATGACTGCCACCCCATGACGTTGAGCAATCAGTTTTATTCTCACAACTCCAACTCAAAATCGCTTCTTGCACAACATTACACAAAGCTTCCGCTGAACGATCACCACACATCTTAAAAAACAAAATCTTTCCACTGGTGCCCTAGAATTATTAACATATCGTAGCACAACAATAATTGCGATTTGTGAGATATGTCAGATGTTTCATCCAGCATATATAGCAACGAATGACGTTCTTTTACCTCATTTTCTAATTTCTAAAATTATGATATTTGTAATCGATGCATAATATCATTTTGTATTCGATTAGAGGTTCCAGAAAAATACAGTTGCAGTTCTTAGATGGTTTGTAAAGTCTCATATTTACTTAATTAAAGTTCTTCATTCTATATAAATTTCCTCGATTAAGGGAAATTTATATTTTCATTGTGTCCACGAATCATCTTCTTGTTGCTAAGTATCAAACTACATCTATTAATCTCTTGAGAATATTTCTATTTCTTGTTACTTTTTCATTGTGTTGAACAATCCATGAAGCCTTTTGTTTTAACATTAAATCTATCTTATCTTCTTTCTTTAACATTAAATCTATCCTGGTGGTACCAAATGTTTTTTATAGTATTTAGGCATTTATGTGAGATTGTGTTTTTTCATGTTTCTTTGCAGCTTCATTTAAATCAATGTACACTGCTCAAAAAAAAAATGGGACAGTGCTATATCTCCCGTTCTACTGGGGCGATTGACAAAATTCAAACTACGTTTTTCATGTCTCGAAAGCGCGACTTAGGATATATATTAGATTTATATATAGTACTATTCTAACATAGGTATTTTGACACCAAAATCGGACTTTTTCTGAAATAACATACCAATTTTTTTACATATTTCGATTCTACGACTCAAATTATGCCAGAATACAAGTTTTGTAAAAATTGTACGAGTAGTTTTTGAAATATTAGCTCTCAAAATTTTAGCTCCTCAATGTTAATTGAATTTGGCAAATATTTATTAATATCTCTTTTTTATTAAACTTTTTTGATTTTTTCTCACACATTTCGAAATTTTGGTTCATTCCAAATAAAATTTACCCATTTTTGTGGCGTTTATTTTTAAATTTTATTTTAAATAATTTCTATAGATTTTTCGAAAAAAATTTTGAATTATAACCTATAAAAATTTTTACCATCATCTTAAAGTAGGTGTATTTTTAAGCATATCTGCAAAAATTAGACTTTTTTACTCAAAATTTTCTAAGATATACACGAATTTACATAATTTCGCGTTTTGAAATTTGGCACCTTTTTTTTTTGAGCGATAATAACGCCAAATGTGGTCTATGGATTTTTTGTTACACGGAATTGCCACAGCTATTTTTAATTTTAACCTTAACTTCAAGTAAATTTACGGAGAATTAATTATATGACATTTTTTCCCTCAATGATGCGTAATAAATATTTTTATACTATATATAAAAGGCTATTTTTTTTAATTATAGATGATATTATTCAAATTTTTAACTATTTTTTTTAAATTTCTCTCGTATCTTTCTTTTTTTAAAAAATTTAAGAGTAAGTTTTGTAAGAGTAAATTTTTACCTTCGGCGTTTTATCGTCTGCTACTTTACTTCGTTTAAATCGAATTGTCTAAAACTGAGAATTTTCGTTTGATATTATTTGAATTTTATGACATTAACTGCATAATTTATTTCTAAACAAACTGTTGCTTTTGAAGTGGCTGAAAGAGCGCTGATATTATTATCCATATTTTTAAAGCACACAATATATTTTTATAGAAACATAATATTTAGAATAATCATTTTTTAATAAAGTCAAATTATGATATAAAACAACAACCCTCTAGAGACTGAATTAATGGAAGTTCAATGGTTATGTAGAAATGATCTGCAGCTACTTAATGGCTGGATAAGTCAGCAGATTCTGTGGACAAGTAAGAATAATTATATAAACGACACCAACATTCTGGATTCAATAAACAACGAGGATACGATGTTTACTAAATGAATTAAGAAGTTTTAAAACATAAAAAATCAACTCATTTTTTTCCTAAAATGTATTTTTG